CATTGATCTAGCTATCTGTAAGTAATCTATAGCTCACACAAAACTCCCTCCTTTTTTCTTATACGGGCTTGGGACCAATTCTTTCGACCGTAACAGTCCAGAATATTTAGGGGGCCCTTCTAAGCTGGGGCCCCCAGACCGTGCCAGGGCTTCCCGGGTGGTAGTTACGCCACTGAAGGCGTGTAAATATGCGCTCGTTCTTTCGATCATTCTCGTTGCAATGCGCTTTAAGTTCGCTGCCGCAGAAAAAATTTCCGAATTCGATGCTATTACACTTGAATGTATCATAAAATAGAATCGATATAGCGCCAATGATGTTTATTATAGAGAAAGGAATCTTTTAATCTTGAATGAAAAATTCTAAAATCTAGAATAAAAGGATAGTGTCGTCTTTTGTCGAATATCGTGGTGCCAACTTGGGAGGGAAAATTTATTCTAAACGCAAGAATATATCAAGTTACTCTTGTCTCAATATAGCAAGTCAATCTTTTTTAATTCGATAGAGGAGAATAATTATTGATTTTATTTTGATATTGTCTTATTTTTATACTAAATTAGGTTGTGAAAAATATAAATGCGTCAAGAATATTTTTTGTCTTAATAACAGAAATCCTCTCTGAGGGCGCGCCTTTCTAATTGACAGATTTTCGGGGAAATGTGTCAATAACGTGTCGCTGTAGCGAATGTTAATTAGAAATTAATACGTCGAAGTGAGCATCGAGGTGATGGTTTCCAAGTAAGCCAAGTACATGTTTACAGAAATATAAATCTTCGTTCCACGTTTCTTTAACTTGTCCCGCGGATCTACATCATCCTCGCGTGCTATTGTTTACACACAAAACAGCCAAGTTCATCGCGTGTTTATGCCGTGTTTTCAAAGAAATGTTGAGCCTTAGCGACTCGGCTTCCCATTCTCCGTTCCGTTTTCATCGTACGAGTACTCTTCGCGGACGTGGAATTGCTCTCTTGGCGAAATTACAAACAATGTCTCTTAGACGAACAGCTTTTCTCGGGATATTTATTTTAGGCGCTCATTGTTCTAATACGAGCCGCGCTGTTCCGCCCAAAAACCGGGCGACTCGCGGGAATGGACTTCGTCAGGGTTGGGAAGTAACTCGTTACTTGTAACCAAGTTACAGTCGCTTCTTTTCGGTAACTCTAACTTAACTTGGTTACTTTCTCTCCATCCGTAACTGTAACTTAACTCAGTTACATTAATAGGTACTTTATATATATCTTAAACCGCCACAGATCGCGTTAGGCCTTGCATTTGCACATAAACGCCTTTACCAACGCTTTACAATTCCAATGCAGAACTGATACTTTTATTTTCATTGCAAGAAAGTAACCGCGGGGTAGCAATTCGTTACTTTTTTAGTAACTGTAACGCGTTACTTTTCAGAATTGGTAACTTATAACTGCAACTATAAGATACTTTTCTAAAGTAACTTTTCCAACCCTGGATTTCGCGTAGCCCTCGAATTCCACAGTAGAAATATACTCGTACGTCTGTGGAATTAGCCCCGTTTTCTCAAAATTCGTCAATTTTAATTACACTCCGGAATGCCCACCGGCGGAGTTGTAGAGTTTTCAATCGGTCTTATGTCTACTTCTACCAATGCAGATTAATTTCGGTTCAACTCTACATCTTTATCCAGTATTAAAAATTAGAAAAAGATAAGAGGCCCATTTAAACCGAGATGAAAGTTACACCCACAGAAAAAACGTCCGGATATCCAATGCTGTTACACTTGAATGTATCATAAGATAGGATCGATATAGCGCCAGTCACATTTATTATAGAGAAAGGAATATTTTAATCTTACATGAAAAATCCTAAAATCTAGAATAGAATGATAGTCTCTTGTCAAATATCGTGGTGCCAACTTCGTGTTAGATGGAGAGAAAATTTCGAGGGGGAAACCGCTGAGAGGGCATTGTGGTGTACAGATTTGCGGCATTACCAGGCTTTACTAGGGCATTTTTGGGGCATTACGTCTTGCTGAGGCATTATAAAAATAAAATAAGATAAAATAAGATAAAACAAGATAAATAAGATAAAAGAAGATAATAAGATAAAGTAATGCCCACTAATAAGTGGGCATTGGTGTACAAGATTTTGGTCAGCGGTTTCCCCCTCGGAAAATTTATTCTAAACGCAAGAATATATAAAGTTACCCTTGTCTCAATATAGCAAGTTAATCTCTTCTAATTCGATAGAGAAGAATAAGAATTATTGGTTTTTGATATCGTCTTATTTTTATACTAAATGAGGTTGTGAGAAATAGAAATGCATCGAGAATATCTTTGTCTCGGCAACAGAAATCCTTTCTGAGGGTGTAATCTAGGGTAGAAGCGAGCGTTAGAAGCAGCTCCACCGTTGAAAGTGGCGAGAGCGTTCTGAAAAACGACCAAGGGCCCTAGAACCGTTACGGGACTGCAATGAATATT